AACGATTACAATCAAAGGCTATAAATTAAGAACAATAGCAAATATAGAATTATTTGTGTAACATTATTAGCTTATCATGGTTGCTATGGTAACCAACTTAGGCTTAATTTGATTGCATATCAATTTTGAAAAATAAGCTATTAAATTCTTCTTACTAATTAATTTGTTGAATATACTAATAAAGTTTTAGCACAAAAAGTAAATTATTCTGATGGAGCCATCTAAATTTGATGAATAAACTTTTGTTTAGCTTCTAACTCACCTGTCAAAACCACTGTATTGCTGTAATAATTTTGAAAACCACTGACCTTCAAATAAGCGGCATTGGATAGTCAAGTTTAGAATATATTTTGAACATAAATTTAAAAAACCAAATTAAAGCATTTAGAAATGTAGTAAGAAATATAAAAAAAGTTCAACTGTTTAAAATTTGCATAAAAAAGATTTTTTTCATGGTAGTTGTCAGATTTGTCAGAAGACCTTCAAGCACTTCTTTATTTGTTGTTAATATAATACGTTCATCATAATCAGCTTGTCTAGCGTCTCTAAATATCTTTTTAACAATTGAGACATTTTATTTTATAATGAATTGATTTGGTATTTTCAATACATCATGTAAAAAGATCTTATTTATTATTTCACTTCAAAGTTGCTGCTATGCACAGTGGACCAGAATTCACTTTTATTGGACAAAACTAATAACTCGTCGTATAAAAAAGATTTAAGAACCATTTTCGCACTGTTTACTAATTTGAGGATTGGGTTTCAATGGTGACATTATTTTTAATTTTATTTAATTTAGATTGTTTTATTAGGTTATTTATTTAATTTAGGTTGTTAGTTTATTCATTTTTAAATTGAGTTATTATTTTTTTTAATTAAGTTATTTTATTTAATTTAGGTTGCTATGGATACCTAAATTGCTTAGCAACCACATATTTTAATAACCTTAACAAATATAAATTGGAAAAAGTAATAACTTTATAGGATTACTGCCATAATTACCACATTGAATATTTTTATACTACAAATGTGGTACTATGCATTTTTTATTTGGTTGATAGTGACACCTGAAATGCCTGGCAAAAGTTCATTTTGCATAGTTACTAACTTAAGTAACTTAAAGCACAAATGTTAAAAGTAAATTAATATTAATGTGGCAGTCTGATTAAAAATTATTTTATGCGTTTAAAAAGTTAAACACATTCCCAATTACTAATTTTAAATGATTTTATGCAGTTCCAGGGCTCTATTTTATCATGAAACTACCACATAATTCATATAAAAAGGGACCTAAAGCTTAAACCTTTTTGTGTATATAATAATATAAAAATTTTGATTCAAAACTATTTTTCGAACTAAAATTCATTTTAAAACTCATATATTGCGATAATTGTAAAACAGCTTTAGCTACTTTTTCTTTACTATCTTGGCGCAAACTAAAACCCGATGCAAAAAATAGTTTTTAAGATAAATATGGTGCAACTAATGGTGTCAATCTTCTTTTCTTTGTTTTAATACTAAAAATATCAAAATTCACCTGGAGCCTGCTAGGTACTATAGTTAGATGTAGTATCTGGCAGTTGGTAGAACTTTTTTTTGTTAAATTGAACTGATATTGGTTCATTTTGAAGCCATTGTTTGTTATTTTCTTCAAAACAATTTGTTTTGGCTACAAAAACATTGTTTGTTATTCTCTTCAAAACAAATTTTAGAGTTTTTGCATATATACCTTTGTCAAAGATGCTTTATGAAATTAGACAGGGTATAATTTGCAATTAAGTTAATGCCATTTACAACATCCAAAATATATGGAAAGTTTTTTTGAAAACTTTTAATTCTACAGTTTAGAAACATACGTCATGATTATTATACAAAATATATAGATTTTATAAAAGCTGAATGTTGAAGCTATAAAATGGTATATAATAATTTATTTTTTAAAAATGAATTTTTTTTACTTTTGTCCACCACCTGGCCCACTGTGCTATGCCAGCCCATGCCGCAGTAGCAGATTTAAGACAAATAACGCAAGTTATTATAACTAAATTAACAAATATAAATGTTTTTCCACGTCCAGCTAATCCTAATGTTTATTTTCTGCATTTGGTTGCTCATTTATTTCGGCAAGTATAACATTTGTTATATTTAACTGGTAGCCATTAAACAATGGTCTTAAGTTTAAGTTAGTAGACTTTGTTAATTGATTGTTGAAGATTTTGATTTTCATTTTCAAGGTTAAAATCTGTGAGTTTATCTTTATCAGGAAAATTATAACCAACTAATTGATGATTAGTTTATAGTTTGTCAGAGACGTTCTCAAGTAATACAAAGTGTTTTTTATTTTCTGGGCTCCTTGAGAATTTTAATTGTTAGTTACCAAAAAATTATTTAACAGGTTTTTTAAACTTTTTAATGCAATATAGCTAATGTGTATTCGTTTGATTGCATTGGTGCAAAATTAGTTGTCATAGTGTTTACAGCTTTAAGCATTAAAAAGTTAGAATAAAGTTGTTAGATATGGTTGAGATTCCAAGCCTATTTTAAAATCTTTTAATTTTGTCTGAGCCAAATAATTGCAATTTGAACAAATTCCTCCCGAATTGAAGGGGTTTTAATTTTTACATTGTCACCACTTTAAAAACAAGACATTGAAATAAAAGAGTTTAATTTTTAAAAATGTTGAATGAAATCGGTGAAAAATAAAATTTGAACGTAATTGATGAGTTTCGATTAAGTTTAAAATAACACCAAAAAGAACTTTTTTTTTTAATTTTTTTAATTTCTCATATATGGGTAATGTGAACAAAATGTTTTGATATATTTTTTTTCAACTTCTAATATATTTTGAAATTTGACACCTTTATGCTCATTCAAATGTTTGAAGTTATCTTCAACACTAAAAAGGTTAAAGTTATCTTTAACACTAAAAAGTAAATAAGTGCTGTATTTATTTGTGATGTGTACAGTTTTCCCATTGCATCACATCGCATATGTGATGTAATGTCTTTAATAGTACGAGTAACGTGACAAGTGACACCTAATATTCCGTACGTAAGACAATTCATCTGTACATTTTTGGCTATAAATATAATTAGTTAATATAATTTTATTATTAAGCATTAAACAAATAATGTAGTGTGGAATGACTATAAATAGAACTCTTTTATGAAGCGCCAATGATTATGGGATCGATCGGACAAACATTAAATCGAAACAATAAAGTTTCTTAATAACAAAAACAATTATGGGATTGATATGCGGACAAAATTAAGTTGGTGAATGTTTTGTTAATTTAGTTAAAGAAATTGCAATAACACAAAACCTGGCGGGAGCAAAGAGAAAGTTAGCAAAGAGAAGGCTTATCACCGTCGTTTTTTAAATGTTTAAAAAAATTTAGTACATATTGTAGTTAAGGTTAACTACAGAAATTTTAATAAAACGTTGTAACTTCTTTATTATTTGGAACTAATTTTTTTTTGGATAAATAAAAATGAATACAAACCAAATAAAAAATTTATAGTATATTATTGCAATCGAGCAAAATTTCAACTCGAAATCTGTCATTTAAAATTAACGAAAATCATACCAAAATAATTTAGATTTGCAAAGTTCAAATTAAAAAACAATAAAAACTGTTTTGTGCAAAATTTAATTCTGATTAATATTAAGCAAACTATATTTGATTTATTGTTATTACCATTACTTGAAACAGTTTAAACCAAAAAAAAAAAAAAAAACCAAAAATGAAAGTTTCGGAAATAGATAAACTTGTTTTTTGCGTTTAAAAACAGATGAACAAGTGCTTATTTTTCAATATAAATCAATGTTGCACCCAGGTACCCGCCCGTTAGTGTTTTCCCGGGTAACATTACCATATGACGGGTAAACGTCATCTAATAAGTTTAAAATTTATTTCATTCACTTTCAAGTTTAAAATAATTAGGGGAAGGTTGCATAAGATTTGCAGGTTCGTAAGATAGTATAACCTGTTTTAGGGGTAGACAACTGATTTTTTGCAATTTTTTTTGGTTAAGTATATTCATAAAAATGTTATTTATTTCAATTTCTTGGTATAGTTAACATCCTTTCATTGTTTTATTG